TTAATTTTGATTGGGTATTTTTCAATCATGTGCTGCAGATCATGTGCTGTAGATCAGATGTGGCGTTTGGTGGCTAAGCCGGCTAAACGGTTTGTCTTGCTTTTTATAATTTTGTAACGTAGTAATTTCTTTTAAGTGATTCGATTATTCGAGCGCTTGCTCATCAAATACATCATTTCAAATTGCCCAAATTGGAAATTAGAAGAAAGAGATTAAGGTATTACCTAAATATATTCTAAATATTCAAATTTAACAATGATTAATATCGAATTCAATATATTTATTATGTATTTTTTGACTGGTTAAGATATATCATCCCCTCTCTCATTATTGGCTAACATTGTCATTTAAAATTTCTCGCAGTGATCTCATATTTATATTTCATTTCTTGAAGATATTGAGGTTGAATTTTCTCATAATCTTTATCCTGTTTAACAACAATCCGAACTTTCAAATTCCGATAGACTTCCTCGGTGATGTGTATAGGGTTAGTCATCGGTGGAGCAATCGGACGGAACGGAGATTTTGAAGGCTGGTTGATTGTTGAGGCTGTTGAGCTTTCTCCTACCGTTTCTGTACTCGTATCGTGTCCTAATTCTTCAACTGCATATTTGATCGATTATTAAATTAAATATAATAAATCTATAATCGAAATATAATAACACAACAAAAAGCAAAACAAAAATACATACCTCGCCGCTTCAGCTTCAATTTAGCAGCTTTCTCCGCTTTAGCTCTTGCTTCGGCAGCTCTGCTATCCTCTAAATTTTTTCGCCGATTTTTCTCATTCAATTGAGCCCACTTGTACAGATTTTTGTCGGCCAGTTTGGCTTGCTCATTTAAATACGAATCGATTTCCTCGATCTTTGCAGCAATTTCCGCTACCTCGGCAAACTTATTTTCGGATTGAGCTATTTGGCTTCTGGTAAGTAGTTGATGTTTTTCCGCTACCAGATTCGTTTGTGATCCTCGTAGTTGGTTTTTTTGGGCGACTATAGAGGCAACGTCTTCCTGTGTTGTTATTAATAAATTAAATTAAATATTGGGCAATTGAATAAGAAAACAATTAGGTTCGATAATAGACCTCTGTTAAGTTATAATTATAGGCTTCTTGGATTGCTTCCCGCCTTTTTTCAACATCATTTTTTGATGGGAAAGGTCTTCCATAGAATTTCATCGTGGAAACCCACCTATCATATTCAGACTATAAAAAAATCAAGTCAATTTTGTCGTAAATAAAAAAAAGTTATCAATATAAAGCAACGAAATAATTTATTTACCTGCTCAAAGGATGCATTTGATATGATGTCCATGGTCCAGACTTTTTGGTCCTTTCCATGTCTTAATAACATCGACTTGTTTGTCAAAGTATTTTCGACCTTATAGTTTCGATGATGTTTCCTAACCTCTAAAGTAAATTAATATTAGAAAAATTCTAAATAAATTAATGTGCATAACTTAGCAGAGAAAAAGAAATCATACCCATAATTTCACACACTCGATATATTTGTGTTCCATTTTCTTTCATACCAATATGGAGACGAACAAAACACCCAATGACAGTTTTCTCAAAAAACGGATCAAACATCCATTTCTCAATTTGCCGTCGCGTGATTTGAATTGATTTCAAATCTTCAAATTTTAGTTCATCTCCTGTAAACTTTGGCTATTGGTTTTTTAAGGGATTTATTTTAGATCAATAATAAAAATTTTTGGGATCAAGAGCATTAGAAGCAATAATTATACCTGTCTGAATTCACGGTGTAATATTCGATCTGGTTGAGGAGAAGATTCTCTCATTGAAAGGCGCCCCGCGAGATCAGATAAATCAAGTTTATGATTGCTAGTATTGTCATTGTTATTATTTGCCTATAAAAAATTTCTATCAGTCTTGAAAATTAATCACAATAGTATTTTGATGATATCGCGAATAAAATTTAGCTTACAGATGATTGTGCCTTCTTTTGGCCTTTTTCCTCACGAGCACGTTTTAATTCCGAATATTTTGTACTCTTTTTCGTGCCATCCTTCGCACGTGTAGATCCTGTTAGCCGAAGTTAGAATATGAATTGTTTCTTATAAATCGAATCTTTTAAAAAAGGAAATTATTAATCACAATCTTACTTCTCGTAGAGTCTCCTTCTTTCTTTGGACCGCTGTCTGCCCATCTTGTTACTAGATTCAAATCATATTTTTGCTGACGCTAAAGTAAAAAAAGAAAATCTATTTAAGTACTCGATAATATTAGTCCATTATAATGAATGTTTCCCTTAAACTACAAAATGCCAACCCTTTCAGCTCGTTCCGAAAGAATCTTTTCACGTTCCACTTCAGTCATTTCTAGAAGCCTGACGACAAAAAAAAGTAACAAACATTATAATTATAAATGAATCTATGTTATAATATGCCTTGCACAAATGCAGACTGTTAAGTTCACCTTTCCCTGTCATCCTCGTCGCCCATTAAATCACTATCATAAGACATTGCATCGTCCTCCTCTTCTTGAGGAAGAATAGGTTTATCCTCATTCATTCTTTTAGATTTGCGCTTTTCCTCTTGTGCCTGAACTTCGTGATCAGAAGATTCTCCCTCAGACTCACTGCAGAAGGGGATAATACACGAGGTTGAAAAAGAGGAAACAAATAATACGTCTACAGTGAACTGAAAAGTGACGATTTCGTAGAAATCAATCACCTTGGACTTTTTTTACGTTTTCCGGTTATTTTGGGGGTTTCTTGTTCTGGTGAGTCATTGCTCTGCTCGTCACCAGCTAGTTCAAGAATTTCGACGTCAATATTACTCATAATGTCTTTGTAGAAAATATAACATATAACACGAGTAGTAATGTAGACTCTGCTAAAATTAATAAAATCGAGTTCACATGCCAGTTTTAATGGATGTGACAATTATATAAAGTCTTAAATTTGATCTTTTACTTTAATCATCTCACCGTGTGATTAGAGAACGTATTAAAATCAAATTATTGGTACGTTTGTCAAATGAAATGCCTTCTTGGCTCAGTTGGCAGAGCGTCTGCCTAGTAAGCAGAAGGTCACCAGTTCGATTCTGGTAGAAGGCATTTATCAAATTTAAACAGATATTAATGCCTTTTCTTAAAAGGATATTTTATTAACGATTTATTGTCGTTACCTCGTACAAACGTCTAATTAAATCGAAAATCGGGAATAATAAAGATGACCACGGGAGAACGTACGACATTTTTAGCAATGTAGTAAAGTATGTTAAAATTTACTTCAACAGTTCAACCTTGAATTCCATGAATATCAAAATATCTACCAATCTCTTGCCACGTTAATGAAGCCTTATTCTAATTAATCATCTTCATTATCTTATTCAGATTAAAAAGAATAAACAACTAACCAAAATTTAATACTTTCCCGATTTTAAAATAAAATAATCAAAACCTATCCTAGCACAAAGCACTACTTTTTATTCTTCATTCCCTCTTTCTTCGGATAAAATGGTAGTCCAAATCCACTCAATAATAGTCGTGCTTCTTGATTTTTTGGGGCTGACGTCTTGAAAATAATATCAAAACCAGTCATCATAGGATACATATCAATATTTGCCTCGATCTCTGGAAATAGGGGTAATGCTCGATGCGGGAGACCCATTGCAATGTTTCCTCGAGTGTCGCCGGAGCTATCAGGAATTCCGTACCATTCTTTAAGACGTGGTAAGACTATCTCAATCAATTTATCGAGAAATGTGTACATTGCCGGTCCTTTAAGTGCTATTTTACATCCAATTGGTATTCCTAGAAATAACAATTCAAATATAATTAATGACGATTTATTTATTATTCGTTCTTTTGATGAGATTAATTAAATAAATAATCACTACCTTCTCGTAATTTCCAATTTGATACATTATTCTTTGCATATACAACTGTAGGTCGTTCAGACGTGATCACTTGAAATGCTATCAAGCCGCTCATTAAATGTTGTTTATTTTGAACTGCATCAGACATCATACAATGCAAATCAATTTCCTGTAATTGTGGTAGATTTTTATTAATCATTGGTTTAGGAAGAGGTCTAGGTAGATCTTTCGTACGAAGTGGTTTTGGCTTTCGATTTCTCAGATAAGGATTCTCATCCGACTCATCCTCTTCTTCATATTCTTCATTTTCATTTTCATCTTCATTTTCAGAAAACATATGTCTTTGTTGGTTAATAATAATGTCTCTTTTCTTTCTGTGAGCTGCCGCAATTGCCACTTCTTCCGCGGCTTCTTTACGGCCAGCAAAGATATTTAACAAAACCTCTTTGTTCTCTTGATGTTCTTTATTCTCTTCCTCAGTTGGTTCCAAAGGAACAGTATCGTTCAAAATTCTCGGCTCCACGGGATAATCATGTCTATATAATAAGATCATCAGATCATCCGCAAGAGTATTCAAGAAGTGTTCTTCGAACCTGTTTATAGATGTTCTGCCGGCGAAGAAGCCAGGATCATCAGGAAGGTATGAAGGTCGTTTTGGCGTATATCCAGATATTTCGGGTATTGGTGGCTTTCTTTTTTTGTAGTGGAATGGGGCTATATTTACTTGATTTATTATTATTGACGTATTATGCGAAAGTAGGTATGCAAAGTTAAAACGTGAGATTGTTTTACGCGTTATTGAGATTGATAATGCCATGTTACGTGATTTATTTCTCTCGGGAAAATCTATCATAAAAAGATCATGTGATTTAGATCCTGAGGCAACGTTTTCGATATCATGTTACTGGCGCACCACACCCTTTCCGCGCGACCAAAATTCAAATTTCTAATCGACCAATATACTGATACTGTTATTAAAAAAATTCCTTCGGTATATCGAATTTTATCATAATACTAAATCTACACATGACTTCCATTCACATGATTTTAATTACATCTCATCCACCAATCCTATTCTCCAAAAAATTTTATGTAGAATTATTGTTCGCCCAAATTAATTACGGCATTTAGGCACCCATCTATAGACAAAACCTTATCAAGAACCAAAGATCTTTAATTTTCACTCCAAACAAATTACCTTTTAATCCTTCCAAAGCTAAATCTATGAATACTTCTGTAATTTCCTAATAATCGGCTAACACAAGTAAAAAGATTATGATCTCTCACTCTTGAAAATCAAATGTCGAAGAATTATACTCAATATCTGATGGAGATAAGTAGTTATTCTGGAGGAATATTCGTTGCTTTTGCATAAAATATAATATCCATTAAAAATATGGACACCTATAATCACAGGAAAAGGGTTGGTACACTATAGTGGGGGACATAATATAATATTAGTAAACGCCAAAATTGTAATTTCACAAATTTATATTATATCTAAGAAATTAAAAGGAAAATTTAACCAAATCATAGCTTAATCAAAAAGCTATTAATATTATCTTTCCTCTTTAAGTTATAACACTTGATATGATGCCATCTAAAAGCGGAATCTTATGCTGTTCCCCCACTGTGGTAGTTTTCTACCTGTGTAAAACTGCCTGTCAAAACCGTCAAAATTATATCCAAAACATTATTAATAAACCCGTCAAAAATCGAAACTAGTCAAAATATAAAATCAAAACTAGACAGGCAACTATAAATACTGATTTTCGAAAATTACAAGGCTTCCAATGTTAGCTTCCCGATTAACCCTCTCCCAATGGTTTTTTATACTAGCCATTGTTGGAAGAATAAGAGATCTACACGATTTTTTCAACGAGTGAAATTTTTACCGCAAATATTTCTTAATAAAAAAATCTACTCATCAATTTTTAGCTAAATTGGAATGCTGTGTATGAAGATATGAATCAATATAAACACTCTCATGTATATCACTTATTTACAATAGAATGTATATGACACCCGTTAATATGACATCAGCGTTAGCATGACCAAGCTGTCAATTCAAGACATATCATAGTCTTGTTAGTATGACATATGACCAAAAACCCAGAACAGTATGCAATAATATGGTTCGGCGACCAGTAATTATGCATGAGTAGTGTTTTTACTGTATATCACTCGCTATTAACGATATAAAAACCATTGGGTATAGATTCGATTTGTGATGTATCTCCTAATTGCATATTATAATTTTGATAGTAACGGTAATCAATTCCATCGACAAAATAAGATATTCAATACTCATATAATCCAATTTTTACAAAACTCGTATTACTTTCAAATGCTCTTTTTCAACTCGTACCAAAATATAGAGTGATTGTTGATTTGGATTGCTGCGGCTAATTAATTTGCATTTACATGATAACTGTTAAAAATATACCCTCCAAAAATTCTTTTTAGTATTTAGCACTGGATTTAGTACACCGGTACAAATTAAGAACTTCATTGACACAGTACCTTGCTAAGGTATCAGAATATTAATAATATATCATCATTATCGTAAAGAAGTCTTTCTTCCTGACTGAAATCTATCGAAAAAAGTTGACCAAGAGATTCTTCTTACAAATATTGTTATGCAAGGTTCCATGACTATAAATCTTTTGCAAACCGTTGTTACTTTCCTAATCTTGTCTAATGTAGCACAAGTCCAGTTTTTCCGTGCATATAACCATAAACAAGCTGCGGAATATATATATATATATATCGATATTCCTTTACTTCTCGAAGCATTTTGTCAAGATTAGTTGATGTTTGAGTCAAGTCTGTCGCGGCTCACCCGCACCAATAATTTTTTGTACGATAATTAATTTAATGAACGATTATTCGATTTGTTTTTGTTATGCAAATTGGAACCATGCTGAATTTGCTAGCCAAGTTGGATGAAGATTCATTCGATGGTTTTATTCCACCTGATTTGTTTTTATCATAAGGATCAGAAAAGTATTCATCTCTGCTGGACACGCTCTGATATGGTTCAATACAGTAGGCGATTCAGATTTCAGAGTTAGAAGCGCGTTTCAAGAATCAACGCTTTTCGTGCGTGAAAACAATTGCGTATTGCAACTTATCTTTTAACATACAACTGCAAATAATAGTATCCGAAGAATTACTTATTCGGAAAAAATTTGGTTATAGGCATTGCGATCTTCTGCTTTAGACATTGAAATCATCGTGAAAAGAACCTCAACTTCTTCAAATATATGTTTTCAAAGTAAAACTCATATGATTGGAGCTTCGCAAACAAATATAATTATCGGGATTTAGATATGAGAATATCTCTTTTTTTTCCGTTAGGTTAATTTATTAATAATCCTAATCTTCTGAATTGATCAAGAAAGCCTTGGTTATTTCTTTGAAGCGTATAGCACACAATAAGGTCCACCTACACTTCGAACCTACTATTTTTTTTTGTCTCAACGAATTGGGGTCATTAACACTTGACATGTGACATGCGATTTATTATTCATAATCGTTATTGTTCAAGTTTGTGTAATTTCATTCTAAATATATCGATATTTCTATATAACGATAATCAACACACAAACAAAATGACGACTGATTTGATATCCCGCATTATTTTGAATAAAGACACAAAAAGACTCATTTGTTTGTTTGTATTCGATTTCTCCTAAATGGATTTGGTAAGAAACTGACTAATTTTTTATGACAGATAGTGAAGAAAATAAGAGATCCAAATTAATTTGTAGATATCGTCAAACATGAATTATCATATCAGAGTGGTCAATTGATCATTTTCATTATTATGTTGGGAATTTTTATCAATGATAGGAAATTCAAAACATATTGTTTATTTATTATATTATGTATTATATGACAAATAAATTAAAATATATAAATATATAAATATATATATATATATACACTCGCACCAAACGCACTTCCTTGACGAAAGAGGTTCCTATGTACGTAGAGTAGTAACTATTCCGCCCTCCTGCAGAGAGACAAAAAAAATTGTTGCGTTGTTTTTGCTCGTATGTATTAATTGAAATAAATAAATATTTTTTTGGGAACTGAGAAACAATAAAATTGTTCTTTATAAGTTCCGTTCGCTTGGCTGCTGCCTTCTTCTTTTTCAATGGTTTTTTAAAATTATTTGTTCGAGTTTCTCGCTGGTTTCTTTCTTGTTGTTTTTGGTTTTGTATTATTTCTATTTGTTTGTCGGTGGTTGGGACTTTTTTTGGTTGTTTTGAGGTTTTTGGTCAAGAACAAAAAAAAAGCTTTAGCCAAATAAATTTTTTATTGGACTTTTGTGAGTGCAGTGGTATAAAATTTTACCTCTCGCTCGCACTCTTTTAATATCTCTTAATTATCTATTAATTCACCTTCTGCTATTGCTATCATTATTTTTATTTATTCTATTGTACGTGTTTGGCAATAATTATTATCCCTCGGTTTCTGGTGTGGTTGCAACTTTTTATTGGTCAGTCCTGGAATTCGAATTCGAATTTTTGTTTTCGGAATTGTACTTTACTCTTTTAATCATAGACACAATATTAAATAAACATTTTCTTTCAATATTATACACGTACATATATCATACAGACGCAAACTGAATTTTTGCGTTGGGTTTGACACCGACCGCTCGGTCGTTCATTTGGTTAGTGCGTTCTTTTTTTTTTTGAAGAGAGAACAATAATTTTTGTGACACCGTGCATGAAAAGTCACATTAATACATAATATAATAGTAATGACAATTAAGGGAAGACAACTGTTTGTTGGAAATGTGAGTTGAATTAATATTATTGTGGAATTTGATCGCATATTATATAAACTGATTATATCATTGAATTTACATAACCACAGTTACCATTTGTTGGTAAGTATAAACGCGCGTGTATCTTTCATATCTTTTTAAATAAATAAGAAGATAACAACTAATCGTAATATTGATTCTCTAAAGTTGGGTGGCAAGACTTGAAGGTATTCATTAATTCATGTCTTCTATTTCGTGTTTATGATGATCGATGATTGATGCAGATATCTAAGATCAGAAAACGTCGTTTCATTTATCCTCATCTTTACAGGATCTGTTCAGATCAGCTGGTAACGTACAACGCGCAAACATTATGCAAGGTCGTGACGGTCGATCAAAAGGACACGGTATAGTACTTTACGCGACTGTAGCTGACGCTCAGAAGGCTATTTGTAAGTCATTGTCATTATACTATGTATAATTTAAAATAATAAAGAATCGGTACTTATCTATTTTATTATTCTGTATTTTTGTATATTAGCGACTTTTGACGGATATGAATGGCATGGAAGGAAATTAGAAGTTCGCGAAGTAAGAGAAGAATGATTGTTTTCTTGCGGGTGGGGATTACCATCTCATTATTTATTTGATTCGTTTTAAACAGGATCGAATTGCAATGGAATATCCTCCACCACCTCCACGTACTGAAGGAGCAAATGCATTAAATAACAAAAATGAGGTACCTACTATTCTTTATCCTTCCTTACAATTTAAACCTCAAACAATAATAATAATAATAATAACAACAACATTCTCGATAAAAAGAATGAAAAAGAAAATAATCTTTCGACACCAAACGACATTATAACAGCAATCACTACTGCACCAACAGACAATAACAATAGTAGTAGTAACAATGGATCGACACAAGCATCATCACCCATTGAATTTTCACCATCAGAGAATAATTCGATCAATGGAACCTCGTCGTATGCAGTGGACGAGGCAAATCAGAGTACTTCTACTTCCACAGCTACTACCGTAGTTGGTGGTGGCGGTAACGCTGTTGTAAACGGAGTTAATGGAAATGGAAATAGCAATGGTAATAATATTAGTAGTACTCTTCAGAGGCAATTGTTCGTTGGTAACGTGAGTATATTATTTGAAAGAGCATTGTTACTGCATTTTTACATCACATCATTTTGCATCATCATGCCAATCACGTCGAATTTAATCAGATCATTTTATTTTACCAATAAATAAAAAAAACAGTTACCGTTTCGCGTACGATGGCAAGACTTGAAAGATTTATTTCGAAAAGCTGGGACAGTCTTACGCGCCGATGTTGCAATGGGTTATGATAATCGATCAAAAGGCCACGGCACTGTGTTATTTGCAACTTTAGAAGATGCGAAAAATGCAATTGGTAATAGTACTAACTAACTAACTGGTAGCATAACTAAACGAATGATTTTAATACTAATTTTTTTTATTATCCGTGCTACAGAAATGTTCAACAATTATAATTGGCAAAGTCGCACACTGGAAGTTCGTGAAGATCGTGGATTCGTGGATTCTAACAACAATAATAACGTGAATGGGAATAATAATACCACAAGTATCACCAATGTTAATAACAATAACATAAACAATCAATTATCGGACTTGACGACGCGTCGTACTACTGCGATGTTTGACCCAGCTCTTAGTCAACATACGCAAAGTTTATTTGCTCCTCCCGGTCCGATGATGCCACCTGGTGGTATTTTTTATGGAGTATGTATGGTTCTTTTTTCATCATTCGATATTAATCGTTGCTGTTTCATTTTTGTAACTTTTATTTATTTAATTTATTTATTTGGTAGCCGAGAGGAATTCAAGCCCCTGCTCCTAACTACGCTGGACAATTACTTTTTGTTGGAAATGTAATCAACTTTTAATATATTTGTTTAGAAAAAAAAATTAAATCTTCATATAAAAGATACTCATTTTTCATATTAATAGCTCCCGTTCAATTGTCAATGGCAAGATTTAAAAGATCTTTTCCGTAACGCGGGTAATATAATTCGAGCAGACGTGTCGACCAATTATGATGGGAGAAGTCGAGGCTTTGGTACCGTATTGTTTGCTACTCCGGAAGATGCGCGTAATGCTGTCGGTAAATATAAAAAAAAAGAAACCAAATTTAATATTCTTTGATTTAAATTATAAAATATCAAATCTTTATTAAACATTATAAATATAGCAATGTATAACGGATATGATTACCAAGGGCGAATACTTCGTGTACATTTCGATAAATTTACGTTGCCGAATATGCCACCACACCCGCATCACCCTGGGCCGCATCCACCACCACATCTCGCGGTTCATCCCCATTCACATCATCCTCATCATCCGCATCATCCGCATCATCGACCCCCACCTCATCCACTGATTCCACATAGCTTTCATATGGGTTTACCACCTCCAATCCCTCATCACTTTATGGCTCCAGCACACATCGGTCCGTTTTCTCCACCTCTTACAACGCCTCCGCCACTCACCAGTCCGCCACCTTATCCCACGAATGGGTATAACCCCTTGGCACATCATCTAGCAGGAAATACCACATTAAATTCTTCGACGAATGGAAATTCCACTTTTCAGCCAATTCCGCCACTGATCTCTTCCACCACAGGGTCAGCAACACACGTAAATAATAGCACTCAACTTTCTAATAATGGTAGTAATAATAATAATGTCAATAGTAGTTTAACAACGCAAGTGCATAATCTATCACAGGATCAATCGTTATCTACACAATCTCATGCTGGGCAATTTCCCGGGTTTGGTCCTATTGGAAAGAATCATTTTGTTCAGATGCTTAGTGCCAATACATCGTTATCTGGATTTGGCTCGGTTGGTGCTACATTTCCGGCTAATAATTCTGGTGCTAATGGTAATGGTATAGCGACTACAACTACTATTGGAAATAATGGAATCGACTCAACTTTCAACTCTCCATCGACTAATTCTACTATTGACAATAATGGAATTCAAAGTTTGAATTCAGCTATTGCAGGCTTACATCTTAATCCAAATCCGTCTCAACCATTGTTTTTCCATCCGCATCACCATCCGCACCATCCGCATCATCGCCCAGGTGTGGTTCCTCCTGCATATCATTTACCAGTCGTTGCTGCTGTTGCCACTCATCATATACACCACCCACATCAACAACCTAATCATACACACCATCCGCATCATCATCATCCCGGTGCAATTGGAAGTGGCATTATAGGCGGAATTAATGGTATTAGTCATCTTCATCAGCAACAGCAACTTCATAATACTAATGCACTCTCGCATACGACCGGAACAAACGGTGCATCGTCGTCATCATCTGCCACGTCTGTGACTGTAACGAATGGATTGAACGGTGTGCATAATACTTCTACGCCAAATGGAGTAATTGACTCAGATACAACTGGGAGTAATGGGGTTATTAAAGCGACTTCTTCCGCCAGTGATCCCAATAATAATTCAATAAATCCTACTACAACTACCAGCGCTAATGCTAATTCTACCACCTCTTCTGCTTTAATTGTTCCTTCAGCCGGATTATGGAATAATAGCGCGGCAACTATGCTTACGACCGCTACTACCACTACAACTAATGGATCAATTGGTATCGAAATGGCATCGTTGGCAGCACAATCAGTTTATGTTCGGAATATTTGAGATTTCCTGGGACTCGAAGTTAGAGGGCTGGCTGTCTGATGATAATTATTGTATAAATTTCTTTGAAAACCTAGTTTTGGGATTTAATTTTGAATTCCTCTATGTATATATTATATAAAATGAAAAGGTTCGAAAAATTTAGAGAAGACTCGGATTTGGTTGGGTGTGGATTTATTTTTTATATAAAAATGCGCGGCTAAGGAAAATTTCATGATGACGAAGACGGTTAGATGAATAAATAGGCTTTTTTCTTTTCCTCGGTCGGGTTTGTTAGATTAGACGTGATTGGGGTGTATATAATCAATCGTTAGTTAGTTTATTATGTTGGAGAGATGAACATTATTTTTTTTCTTTTTACTGAATTTATTTTTTTTCCGAGATAGGTTGGTTTTTGATTTAGTTAGTGGTTTGGTTTCATTGCATCACAAAAATGTTTGGATTTCTTTTTTATTATTTATCTTCCCATTTCAACAACAATCCTGTCTATCTTATCCTACCAACCAACCATCACATAATGCCGCACACAAAAAGTATAGTTACGATGATTTATTCTTTTTTTCTAAAGTGCGATTTTTTAGAATTTTTCACGTAAATAATAAATATATATATACATACAAAATAAATATATAGACCACCAATAAATAAAAAATACATATAATACTTTCATCACATAATTATTTCTCGTTGAATATTTTATTTTCATTGAATAGCCATTGCTCTTGACCTTTATTTGCCGTTAATTACCAAACAAATTGGTTATAAATATTGCCTGAAATAAACTGATGAACCTTGTATTAAAATAATGTACAGATTTTTTAGCTTGAGGTATTAATCCCAATAGTCCATTGCTCTAGGACGATGTGGTTTCGGACCTGTAGTAGTAATAGCACTACTACTACTACCACTATCCCTGGCATGCTCATCCGACTTTTGCCTCTCCACATAATACGCGACTTTTTGCTTTGGCTCTTCCGCCACCATGCGTTTTCTTTCTTCTTTATGATGATTTTTTGTCCGATGATTATTTGATTTATTATCATTTATGTCTTGGTCTTTATATTTACCTGAATGTTTTTTGGATTTTTTCTTTGAGGACGAATATTCCTTTTTATGACGTTTGGTCTTGTTTTTATGACGACGACGAACAACTTCGTTACTGCTGCTTTCAGATGAACTGGTCTGAGAATGATCTGAATTTGAATCTTCTTGTTTCTTGTGTTTTTTAGAAGCGGAAGAACGCTGCTTGGAGCTAGTTGATTTCTTGTGATTTTTATGCCGGCGACGAGTATATTCGTCATCCGAGTCATCTCTTTTTTGTTTTTTGGAGATATGTTGACGCGATATTCGAAGCTCTTCGTGATTGCGGGTAGAATCATTTGCAATGTTCTCTATAGTAGGTTTTGTTTCTTTTACGGGGGAAGAAATTGTTTTTTTTTCTTTGACATCGGTGGTTTTAGACTCATCACGCAAAGATGAGCGTTTGTGATTCGATTCAGTTTGTGGAATATCATCAAGGAAAGATAGCGGTCCAGCAGTAGATACATGATCTTTTTGCACTGACTCTGATGATTTGAAAGGTGATGAAGTTGATGATACTAATGTCCGATCGTTGGCTCTATCCGATTTTGGAATAAACATCGGTCGAAATGATGTTTCTGATTTCTCTTGTTTAATAATAGGCGAAGACGAAGATACTGCAACATTACTAGCAACTTGAACACTTATTGACTCATCGGGTTTTGGTGCATCTATCGGGTGAGAGACCAAATTTGGCGGAACCTTTCTCACGCAAAGTAAAGTCGAGATTAAATAACTTCGTTAAGAAAAACTAAAAATTAGTATAATTTCTTACCTTTTTCTTTGAAGTTTCTTCTTGTTCACTTTCAGAATCTGATTCCGATTCAAAGATAGCCTTGAATATATCCATAGAAGGACGTACATAATTAATAGCTACAGTTTCTTTATTCTCCGAATCGGGTTTAGACTCCTCAGGATCTTTTTCTTGCAAACTTTCGGACTGCGTTATTGTCTGAGTGGATGTCGCAGAGCTGCCATTATTAGTATTATTCACAAATGACTGCGTGCTTCTCTCTTGCATTATTTCGTCCACTTTTTCTTTACTCAATGGTTGTTGTTGTCCTTTTTGCGTTTTGCCAGTTGACGAATCACCTTTATGTTCCGGATGTGGATTTGCAATATTGAACCGTTTGCATAAAAGACGATTTGGGTAAAATTCGGCCCTTGTGCGGGTAAGAGCGCCAAACATGTTCATTTTGGCGGCTGCTTCTGCCGCGGAACGCGAATCTTCAAAAACAGTGGTAGAAGTCGTGGTTGCTGTTGTGGATACTTCTTGGAATGACTTTTTACCGGATGGTGCTCTTAGTCCTCCTTCGGGCTGTTTAAATTCTTGAATTATAGATGATGGACTGGCGCTAGCGAAGCGAGATGCAATCATGCTCGACATTGGACGAAATATGCGGGCTGCTTTCGCAAAATCATCTAGTTCTTTGCTAAACTCATCGGCAGTATAATCCTAATGCACAGTCAACATATTAATTATTTAATATAAAACATATGTAAAAAAATGATCATAGATTAAAAATTACCTCTGGAAGCCTCAATTCAACTTGTGATAATCCAGCTTGATATTCTAAGAATTGCTTATATCTAGTCTGCTTCGACAAATTATCGCCAAATGGTATGAATCCCTTCAAAGCCGCCGTAGCAACATCTTTTTCAACTTTGGGTATAACAAATTTCGCATGCTGGACATCTTCCGTCTTAACTTCAACATAAGCCCCAATCAAGTTATCGAGTCGCTCTTTATCTCGACGCGAGACGAAATCAAAGACAGAACGCGCGGGAGCTTGTATAGGATTCTCGCCTAGTTTCGCTGCACGCTGTTGAGTCAAAAAAAAAATGAGAAGTCCATGACTTTTTCTAACTTATCAAATTAAATTTACAATTTAGTTTTGTTTAAAATTTACCTGATCAGCAACAATAGCCAAGGTAGTCACTTTTTGGTGAGTATTGCTCGGCATACTTGATGTGTTTTGAGTTTCTGCTGGACCAGGCGTATCAAAATAATGAATCGGCACGAACCCTGTCGGTATCTCCGGTGGTGTGAACCTGATTAATTTATGAGCATCGCGTGTGTTCAACTAGAACTATATGATGATCTCAAAGGGTAATTTAAAAATTCTAGACACTTGCCATTTATTGAGAGGAAGAGGCCGTTGTGCCAAAACAAATCCGGTTAACGGTTCGCTGCCGTCGTAGCATAATTGCATGGATGATGACTTTTTTTTGCTGGATACAAACGTTTGTGGTTTTTTGTCTTGTCTTTTCCCTACAAATATAGCCTCCTCATCTTCATCTATTAATAAAGTACGATATTCTCGAATTGAAGTAGTATCGTATATATCCTCGTCGTCCTCCTCTTCTAATGCACCTACACCAATTCCGCCTTTCATAGGTAATGAGTTTGCTGTTTGCAAGTGGCTTTGTTCGACTAAATTTCGTGGAATTAACGAAGTGAATCAAATTTGATATGGAAAAATAATAGTTATTATTATTTGTTTTATTACGCACCTTTTGAATTCGATTTCACTTTAGAAGCGAATTCCGGTGCATTTTTATATGGATCAAACCCAAGCCCGTAAGTATTGTCTTTATGGTCAAATTTAATTATCGCAGAATCTTTTGGAGCAAAAGAAATTTCTTGGGTATACACCTCATCATCGTCATCTTCTTCTTCATTACCATCATCAGAATCGGTTTGTAATTTTCTTTTATGAACACGAGGTCCAATTCCTTGACCTTGGCGCCAGCCCATTTTTTTCAGCAATCTCACACCTATTTATGTTATTGTTAAATTAAATTCGTGTAAAAATGCACATATTCTAGTTATACGCACCTACAGGTTCCTTACTAGGCACAACTAAATCTTCTATCAGTCGTTCAGATATAGCCGAGAATCCACTAGATTAAAAAACACTAATTTAGAAATTGTGCAATATCAAATCAGTATTCTGATTCAAAATATATGTGCTTACCTCCTGTTTTCGTTAAAAGAAGCAGCTAATGCTTGTTTCTGTGCTTTTTCGCGTTCTGTAGAACCCAACAAATCAAATTCCTCGGTTGTCACCAATTTTTGATTTTGACCTAATTCCTACTTCCCGAGGACAGAAATCTAATTTAGACATCTTTTTAGGAACATTTATCAAATATAACCATGAAAGTACATAATAAATATCAACCTCGAGATCCTCGTCATCCATGAAATCTTGAGGCAAACTTTCTTTTTTTGCGGATCTGTTAGACCGTGAAGAAACAAATGTGGATGGAATCCATCCTATATAAAAATTTAGATTGATGGTTGGAAATGATATTTAAAAAACCATAAAATAATTTAACAAAAAGTACCCTCTTTCGAGCCAACCGTATTATAATATCCCGCAGACCAGCCGCCTTTGAAAGCTCCATGGAAACGCCTCAAACCATTCTCATCACGAACCTGAGAAAACATTTATTATTAAACAAGACTAAACCATTGCATTGACGAAATGTTTAAAAACGCACTTCTTGTTTCCAAATTGGTTGAAATTTTCCCTTGTCCTCAGAGCTTGTAGAATCAACTTCAGGCAAGAGAGTACCATATATTATAAAAGTTTCGTTAGCCTTTTCATCCACTACCTCATCTTCGGTAACTTGAGCGAGTTTTGCTTTTTTTTTATGAAGAGACATTATTGTCTTTATGAACAGGTGGAGGAATAACAATAATATTTTCCACACAAATCACACAATGCTGGTCACGGATATGTCATGATACACGTGAAAAGAGTTAATGCGCGTAATGTAATTAGCGTTAGATTTTACGATCAATCGGAAAAGGTAAAATTTTCTTAGATAATAACAGAGAAACCTATCTAAATGCACCCCACCCTAGTGTTGTTGCTTGGACGCAAATCCAGCAATTTGACCAAACATAAACATGCATTTATGAAGGGTGTGTACATTTAACCAAACACTGTACATATATCCAGTTTATACATCCCTACAATAAATTATCAAAAATCCAAAAAAAGCATAATAAAATATAATAAAAATTGAAATTTTCTCTTTATATGAAATTTTTATTTTTATTAGTAAATATTTGTTGCTTTTATGTCAAAATAAAGTGTATTTTTTATAGATTTTTTAAATTTAATTCAAGAATATTTCTGATTATAAAGTTAATTACACAAATTTTTTATAATTAAAATTTAATTAACTTGAATTTTAATTAAAAAGTTTGTATAATCAACTTTACAATTAGAAATATTCTTGAAATTAAATTTAAAAAATTTATAAAAAATATATGTTATAATATTATTATGAGTTGAATTTTATCATCAAATTCTTATTAGATAATTACTAAAACTTTTTTACAAATTAAACACAAATGGAATTGAACTTGATTACAATTTTCTGATTGGTTGTTGCAATTAATCGCAATTAAATCACAATTCTCTGATTGGATATCGCAAGTAGCAATTAATTGAGATATCATCTTTAAAAGTGACAAATAGATATTTTAATTTGCAAGCTTTTTTTATATGAAATTTATTAATAAATAAATAAATCAATATAAAATGTAACAAATAGAAATTTTGGCTTGTAAACCAACTCACAAAAAGCTTTAATAATTATATTCTTTTATTTTATTATATTTTATTAAACAATCTTATTATCTATATTTTATTGGATAATTAATTAATAGTTAATCATTATTCAAAATAATCATTTTAAATAATTATTTTAATAATCATTTCTAATAATCATTTCAAATAATCATTTCAAATAATCATTCCAAATGATCATTATAAAATTTAATTGATAATTCAATATAAATATTTAGTTATTATTTTATTAATTGTAAAGATTATAATAAAAATAAATTATGATGAAAATTTGCAAAATTTATTATAATAAACTATAAATAGCAATTATACTTATAGTATTTAGCAATATAAATATTATTACAAAATTAATTTAAATTATATATTTTATGCATTTATCATTATTTTCAAAATACAAGTGACTCTAATTATAATAAAGATATCTATACCATTAGTAAAAAATTTTCAAAAATTTATTATATCGAGTTTATTAGTAAATTTATTATATCGAGATGATTTATTATAACGAATCCACCAGAACGACCCTCGCTTTTTCAGATCATGTAATATTGCTGATCATCTCCGGCTTCTCCGACCCGCAATCGTAATGATCAAAGATTTTGTGACACAGAAGTAAAGCGATAATCAGAGAACAAATTAAGGTAAAGCATTAATTATCAATTAGAATTAGTCTTACAAGAAGTCAACCCAAAAATAAGTGTTTGCCAAGAGCAAAATATGTTTCTAATAGAGTTAAAAATCCAAGGAGGAAACCAAAAAC